TATGAATACTCTTAATCCTCATAACCCTTTTCACTTTCCATAACGTCTGGCCTTTAGTATATATTCAGAATTAAAAGTGCAAGTATGCAAAACTTATCACATGAGACACTTTTTTTAATTTTACAAAGAAATTATGATTTTCTTAGTATTTGAAAAGGTGATAAATTTTACACTGATATATTTGTGTGATTTTTTATTCTTTTTCATATTTCTTTGGAAAAACAGAAATGATGCCATGTTTTAATAAGAATGTCAGTCCCTGACATTTAAAATTAATGAAGCAAGAAACGTAACATTCAGACTGTGTGTTTCTATTTCTCAGAAGTAATTTCTTTTCTCAAAGTGAAACAAGTTGGGATCTGAATACTTGTATTTCTGTGATGCCAAAGAGAGAACTAGACTGAGTTAGCAAGATTTGCTGCTTAAAATGTGGCTGGGTTCATAAATTGTATTAAACAATAATGTAGTTTGTTTCCTTTTGGCTTCCATTACTGGGCAAATCTAGCCATTGTGAATTTTAGATCACCATTGATGGCTTTAGCATGTTACCTAGCTCAGAGGTCCCCAAACTTTTGGGCACCAGGAACCAGTTCCATGGAGAAAGGTTTTTCTGTAGACCGGAAGGTGCGTGGTTTTGTGTGCTGCCTGCATCCCACGGATGGAGCTTTGTTTGTTTGTGTGGACCGGTTGCTGGTATGCCGCAGCCTGGTACTAGTCCACAAACCGGGGGTTGGGGACCCCTGGCCTAGCCAATTGTGGCTTCCTTGTTTATTACTTTAACTTATATGAGATGCCATTTCCAGGAACTCTGAGCAGCTTAAAAGGCATATGCAACGGGATAAAGATAACAAGAATAATAACAACTAATCATCTGGTACAGCATGTAATTGAGCTAGCATAACCTCCATCATCCCCAATGCCTTTGTAAAGAGCAATACACTTCTACCCAAGCAAAATGTAACAGGAAGGGAATGGCTCAGCTATTGGGGGAAGGGGGTTCTTCCAAAGAAGGAAGCCATTACTGAAAATGCTCTATTACAGTATGTGTGTAGATGGCATTTCATTGCCAAGTGTGCTCTGCAACATGCTTTTTCTCCCTGATCTTTTCATACTGGCAGATTCATCTTAAAGATCTCAGAAATACTATATTTAGCCACAGTGAGTTTTCAAAATTATAACCAGCAGTTGAATTGTTCCTAAAAAATAACAGATAGCCATTGTTCTCATAGTAGTTCTATGGATATAATGCAGTGTTTCTCAACCTTGACAATTTTAAGGCATGTGGACTTCAACTCCTAGAATTCCACATACCTTAAAATTGTCAAGGTTGAGAAACACTGATATAATGGATCCATAACTACTTGAATCAGGTGGAATAAAGAATTAGAGGTATATTGCCTAGACCATGGGAATGTGTTTTAACATTTATAGCGTATCAGTGCACCTTAAACTATGATTTATACAATAAAAATAATATTTAGAATTCAATGGATTCTATTATCCTATATAGAAAGAATTGTCTGAAGCAGCATTTTGTTGGAGATGTAAGAAAGACAATACTTGTTTAAAATATATATTTTTACAATGTCCCATACTTAGCAAATTTTAGGAGAAAGTAGTGGGTTATATAAACATGCCTATTAACCAAAAGCTAACATTTTCAGAGGATAATATTCTGTTGAATTACATAACTAGTACATGGGCCTTGACAACTGGACTATGTAGGATTCTTCATGCTCTTATTATAACTAAAAGACTCATATTGCAAAATTGGAAAGATAAATCTATTGCCCCAATACTCAATGGACTGAAGTTTTAATTACACTTGGTGGTTTCAAACAGATTGCCTATAGGCATAAATTTTGTATGGATAAAAATAAGATGGGATTCATACAAAAGACATTAGGCTAAAAACATGTTTTATATATATATGTGTGTGTTTGTGTGTTTGTGTGTGTGTATGCTATATATGTGTGTGTGTATATATATATGCTATATAAGTATATTAAAAATAAATACCTTATATTTTATGCTTTTTCTGTTGTATTTTTTCACTCATTTTTATGTTATGTATTTTTAATTATGTATGTAGTTTTTGTGTCTGTTTCTTTTGTCTTTTCTTTTTTCTTTCAGTATTTTAAATGCCATTACAAACTTATTTTAAAACAAAATTACCTGAACTACCTGAGGCAAGGGTGTCAAGCCCGATCACATTATAGGCCATATTGTGACGTATTGGGATGGTTTTTTGCCTTTGCGGAGCTGGAGTGGGTGTGGCCTGCATGGAGTGCATCCGGCCCACAGGCTGCATGTTTGACATGCCTGATTTGAGGCTTCCAAATAATTTTTAAGGGGAGTTACTCAATTAAACATGTATATGCTGTGACTTACCATGATCTGTGAATCCAATTTATATTATAGTCTTCTAACTCCCAGTTTTTTGGAGCACTTACTCATAAGCTTTATCATGTTGCATTTTCTACATGTCCTTTGTGTCAGTAATTGCCATTGGCATGATCTGGAGATCAGTAGAAATAATTCTTTGTTTAGTGAGTAAAGTGATGCTGGTAATGCAAAAAACATATTTCATTTGCAAGATAGTTATATATTTCCACTAGCCCTTCCTAGTCATCTCTCTCTTTCTCTGTCACATGTTTTCCTTGCAATGTGGCAGTAACCCTACTAACTAGCCTAACTAGCTATTCAAACTCTCAAAAGACTTTTGGGAAATTCAGGCTTTTCTTTTTATAGTAGGCAAACATTGTGGTCTACCTTGCTTATGCTTCTTGTGTCTCCTAATTATATGCATGCTTTTGCATTACTATTTGTATTTAGCTCTGCTTTTATGCATCTCAACTGATGGCACATTTTTAAAGTTGCTGCATATCCTCTTATCCATCTAATTCAATGCTGTCAACATCAGAGCAACAAGCATCCTTTATCACTAGCCATGGTGACTAGGGTCACTCAAAGTTGTAATTCAGCAACTTCTGGAGGTTGTAGGTTCTCTGCCCATTTTTATACTGTCACTCTAGGGCAGTGATGGCGAACCTATGGCACGCGTGCCAGGGGCGGCACTCAGAGCCCTCTCTGTGGGCATGTGCACCATGCCCCAGAGATGGCAACCATCCCTCTTCAACCAGCCGTCCGCTAACTCATTGAGGTCCCACGTTGCCGGATGCATCCCAGCATGGCTGGTTTCCCTCATCCCTGCCCTGCCTCGCCTTGTCTCGCCTCACCCCACAGGACAAGCCTCCTGCCCACTGCCCCACCTGCCAGAGACCCCCTGGATCTCCCCCAACCCTGCCCAGCCCCCATAGGCATCCCTCCCCACAAGCAACACACCCACCTTGGCCACACCCACCCAGTCTGCCATGACCACCACAGCCATGCCCACCCAGTGGGCCACGCCCACCTGGCATCTGGTGATAAATAAGTGGGTTTTGGGTTGCAGTTTGGGCACTCGGTCTCTAAAAGTTTCGCCATCACTGCTCTAGGGCTTTAGACAAGTGTCTTTCCCAGCCTTACTCAGAAACCAGACAGCATTTTCTAAATGCTCAATAAATGTTCCACCACTTTATTATAGTTCTTCTCCATTTACTATATCTACTGTATCTGTCTTTTTCTTCTATTGGGAATTTTTGACTTCTCCAGAAATCTTTTTTCTGAAGGCTGTATTTTATTGTCTTGAGCATTGCATATTCAACATTCTTTCTATTTGGTCTCTGTACCTGTTGGGTATTTTGTTAAGAAAGTGCATCTGGGCCAAAGGGAACTGGACAAAATTTATGACTCTAGTGATTCTGAGAACAGAAGTTATATTTATTCTACTCTGATAGTGTCACCTTTGTGTTTGGTTAGTTCCTTTCATGGCTTTCCATAATTTACCTCTCATACTGCATGATACTTTAGATTAAGATCCTCTCCAATATTATTTCACATTTGCAAACAGGGCTACAAATAAGCCACGACTGCATGCTTATATTGCCCATTAAAAATCAACCACAGCTGAGAAATGTGACTAGGGATATCAGCAATGAGTTCCTTTGAGTTTACAGAGAGAAATCTGTGCATCTTCCCAACAATGGTGTACTCATAAAGTCGCAGACAGAGAATTGCTGTGCATGCTGCAAATAGGAGAGAGCCGGAGATTGTGTTTTGAAGAGAAGCTACTGGAGAAGAATTGGTTCCAATCTAAGGAGGAATTCTAATGCTGGACAACAGGCTGTAAGGACATAACCTCAGTGGAAAATAATAATTGCTGTTGTAGTCTAGTGGTTGAATGCCATCTAATATTTAAGATCAAGTTGGAAAGGTCATTTTTTAATGTAATCCTTTTCAGAACCAATGCTAAAAAACAGAATTTCCTAATCTTTTGTTACAATTTTTATTCCTGGACAGAAACCAGGATTTGATTATCTTGGTTTAAGAGGGGAAAAGCATATTCTAAACACCATGAGAGCAAATTATCCCAGTGATAATTGATTATTATTTAGATTATATGCAGCATAATGCATATTAAATACATTGGTGGCAGATGTGGTATTAAAAGTTAAGGTGACTGTGCATGCCTCTTTTTGAGAATTCAGTAACTGACAAATGAGAAAAATGCAATTTATGAGATTCTAAATAAGCAGAGCTTTTTTTGTCATAGAACGCCCAGAACAGAGTTTCGGTACCTTTTTTGGATGGTACCTTGTAGGATAGGCAAGGCGGGTTGTATGACGTGTGAGTTCCGGCACCTTTTTGTTTTTCCCAAAAAAAGCACTGTAAATAAGGATCCTTCAACATTTCAGAAATTACTCTGGGTTAATTCTAGCTAATTGCTAGAAAACTGACAGTGTTGTTCTTGGTTTTTGATTCTCAATAAGCCTTTTAGCAATAGCAATCGTACTTAGATTTATATACTGCTACATAGTACTTTACATCCCTCTCTAAGCAGTTTACAGAGTGAACATATTACCCCCAACAATCTGGGTCCTCATTTTACTGACCTCTGAAAGATGGAAGGCTGACTTAACCTTGAGCTGGTCAGGATCAAACTCCTAGCTGTGGCCAGAATTAGCCTCAATGCTGCATTCTAATCACTGTACCACTGTGTTTTTTAGGTGTCTGTTGTTCTATTATTTACCTGAAAAATAAATTTAAAACAAAGATTTTTAATAATCTTTATTTTCAGAAACAGTAACATGAAAGAATAATGATGGTGCAGAACTACGTTATATAGGACTAGCTCAGATGCATCATTGGGCACAAGCCTATAAAGCCTATCGTTCCTGTTGAAGAGCATCTTCAAACAGGAGGTTTTCACTGAATCATAGATTCTTCCTTATACCAAAATTGCAGGGAACCTGGGTTGTTCAAACTTCAATCAGTGCTTTGTTTACTAGCCACAGTTTAAACTAAGCTCATATGAAGACATGAGAAGGAAGACTCGATCAGTTTAAAGATAGCAGCCAAAGTTTTCAGCTTCTTGCATTCGTGCTAGTGAAGATAGGAAGGTTCAAGGATTCAGCACATAATGTTAAAACATTGACCCCAAAAGATGCACAGATATAGAAAAGAGAACAACAACAAAAAGTTCACCTTCAGTTGTACGGGATCCATACTCTCTTTTGAAACTGCTTTGTTATTCTATTTGGAGTATTTTTATCCAACTTTTCAGGAATCATCAAAGCGCTAGACAGCAACAACAAAAATATCGTAATTGCAACATAAACAACAGTACGTCAGCAGTTAAAAAGACTCAAAATTTGAAATCTATATACCTTAACGGATTTAACGAAGCAGAGGGTATTGATCATAACTTCAGAAGGAATATCTTTCCCGAGAATGCTTCAACTAAACTATAGTATGATAGAAATTGTACACTTTTCTGTATTCAAAATCCCTACACTTCTTCGCCATTTCCCCTGTACTTTGTTCAGAAGAACTGATTTTAAGAAACTGTACACTGTTTTGGCAATCTTCCTGCTTTCATAATTACTATTGTATGTCATGTTCTATTTAATCTGAATTGGGCCTCTGCCTGCTGAGCTTTTGTTTTATTTCACCTCAGGCTATGGTCCTGTGTACACTTGCCTGACAATAAGCCCTGCTGAAGACAGCATGACTTATTTCTCAGGAAACCTGCATAGGAGTGGGCTGCAGATCCTGCATGCTCTGGCTGGCATGAGGTCATTGATTTGTGCTTGCTGTAGTTCTCTTAAAAGAGAAAGCCCAGCTGAACTCCTGGGTTGACATGAACATGCCCCTGCAGCTTTCTTGGCAATAATCTGGAGGTGGTTTGTCATTGCTGCTTTCCGAGATGATGATCAGCTTCCTAGCCTAGCCTATAGGGGGGTTACCATCTAGGTCCTAAACAGGCCTGATCCGGTTAAGTTTCTGAGCAGTTAAGGCAGCATCCTTTCCTAGCGACTAGCTCTTTTTCCCAGAAGAACTCCTAGATTTCCCTAAGGAGAGTCAGCATAGCGTACAGAAGAGGTTGAAGTGCCATGTTAGGACTTGGGCGACCAAAGTTAAAAGTTGACCTTCAGCTACAGAACCTCACTGAGTGATTCAGGTCGGTCACCATTTTTCACTGGGCTGTGGGGATAAAAAAAAAAAAAAAAAGGAGAGTGCTATATACTGCTTTGAACTCCAACAGCTCCTTGGTTTATAAATTACAACATCAAAAACAAAGATGTGCTTTGTTGAAATTTGTGCTGGAAATAAACTATTAGTTACTTGGAAGAGAAAAAAATATGTTGAAAACCATTTGGCATGCTATTTTTGCAAATCAAAAATTCTTCAAAGAGGAAGTGGCACGATACCCCTTTTACAAAATTCCATTTTGCTTAATATTTCAGTTTGCAACCCCTGAATAAATTAGATGGAATCTTTTGGATATAGCTTGCATTGAAACCCTGGCTGTTTCCTCAGGTATGTGAGTCAGATGTGTAGAGGGTGAGGGGAGTTGTTGTTCATCTCTGGGTCCCAGGAGCGGAGTGGAGATTAAGTGTGTTGAATTCTTGTGTTTTAATCATGTAAACTGCTAATAATCATTTGAAATGGGCAGTTGTATAGATCATAAAAATAAGTAAATACAGATTTTACATGCATTTTTGGAAGCATGCTATGAATTCCAATAGGCCAATCTTCTGGAGATATACTCAGGATTAAGGTCCTTCAGCAAGAGATTCTAGGAGATTTCCTGGATTACACAGTAATCTTCCTAAAGCAAACCTGACTCAAGCTATATAAAAGTCTGTTCTGATGGGTTGCTACCCAGCTACCTAATTGTGGTGCCTTTGGAATCATCTTATATTCATATGCTAAACTCAGATAGATAGATTAGATAGATAGATAGATAGATAGATAGATAGATAGATAGATAGATAGATAGATAGATAGATAGATAGATAGATAGATAGATAGATGTGTATGCATGCCTTATGAGAGTCCAATACTGATATGTCTCCTCTTGTATGCCCTTCTCCTCATGTCTACACTGTATTACTAAATATAATCTGCCATGAGAATGTGGCTTATGCTAAATATTGGGGCAATTGTGTTGGCAGAATACTTTCTCATAGTTGGATGTGTTTTCTCTTTCCACAAGTAAACAGTCTAGCTATAATTCACTGACATGACCAGCCAAGAAATCAACATTTGTATGTATTGAGTGAAATATATGCACTGAGAATCCAGACTTGTTTTCCTTTTAAACAAGCCAGACTAAATCATGGTCATGTTTCACTTTAGGACCTGACCAGGGATCTTCACTGTCACATCACACTAAAACCACAAAAATAATTTGTGAAGCAACTTCTGCTGGCAAGAGGAATATAGTGGGAATGATCAAACTTGATCACAACAAACTCAGATTCTTAGAATCCTGACATGGTGTGATATGTGTAAATGTGTAAATGGTGTAAATGTGTCCAATGGCCTTCAAAATAAATGATTTGAGTAGGATTTTGATGTCTACAACTTGGAGGTGTTTAAAAATATGATGCCAATATTTTTCATGCTGTGTATTTTAAGCCCTGCTTCCTTCCCCTTCCCCTTTCAGTTGTTACTGGCCGGCCACATTTAAAACTGTGAATCTTGAAAGAGTATAATGCAAAGAATAATTCCTGGAATGGCAGGGAAAGGCGGATGCTTTTTGCATCCAAAGCTCTTAATAGATACAACATTGTTTTGTTTGGCTGCAGGCTATTTCCTTTGTTATGTCAGTGTTCCTCTGAGCTAGTGTGTGTTAGGCCCCTTTGGCTGTGGAGAGTTGTTTTTTACAACTCTGTTTTTGTGCTTGAATAATAGCAGTGTTAAGAATGTATAATACTGTAAGTCTTTCTTTTTTAAAAAATAGAAGGACAGCAAAAAAAAGGGATTGTGACTTTTCAGTACTACTGGGACAGACTCTAACCAAAGGAGAAAAGAGACTTGGTCATTTTTATTAGGAGCCACAGTAGGTCTTTTCTTGTTGACTGATCCTATTCTTAGTTTGCCCTCTTTGCCTTGTAGTCATGCCTATGTATTTGAAAGCCGGTGTGGCTTTTGTCCCTTCCACTGTGTCAGGTGTTTTGCTCACCTCTTTTCAAAAGGATGCAACGGGGTATACAAGCTTCTCAAGTTTGCAATGCTTAATAGCTGTGAGAGGGACCTCGGAGTCCTAGTGGACAATCATTTAAATATGAGCCAGCGGTGTGCTGCAGCTGCCAAAAAGGTCAACACAGTGCTAGGCTGCATTAACAGAGGGATAGAATCAAGATCACGTGAAGTATTAATACCAGTTTACAGTGCCTTGGCAAGGCCACACTTGGAATACTGCATCCAGTTTTGGTCACCACAATGTAAAAAAGATGTTGCGACTCTAGAAAGAGTACAGAGAAGAGCAACAAAGATGATTAGGGGACTGGAGGCTAAAGCATATAAGGAAAGGCTGCTGGAATTGGGTATGTCTAGTTTAATGAAGAGAAGGACAAGAGGGGACATGATAGCAGTGTTCCAATATCTCAGGGGCTGCCACAGAGAAGAGGGAGTCAAGCTATTTTCCAAGGCGCCTGAAGGCAGGACAAGAAGCAACGGGTGGAAACTAATCAAGGAGAGAAGCAACCTAGAACTAAGGAGAAACTTCCTGACAATTAGAACAATTAACCAGTGGAACAACCTACCTCCAGAAGTGGTGAATGCTCCAACACTGGAAGTTTTTAAGAAGAGACTGGACAGCCATTTGTCTGAAATGGTATAGGGTTTCCTGCCTGAGCAGGGGGTTGGACTAGATGAGCTCCAAGGTCCCTTCCAACTTTATTATTATTATTATTAGTGTTATTATTATTATTAGTGTTATTATTATTACTACTACTACTACTACTACTACTACTACTACTACTACTACTACTACTATTATATAGTCATCCTCCACAAATAGTTCTTCATGGAATTGCAGGAAAACAAAAATAAGTGCCTTATCAGGATTTGCCCTAGACTCAGAAACATATATTTGTACTGAATGAAAAAAGAGCACTTTTAAACCGAGTGTCATGGTTCTGACAGATGAAACTCTTCAAAAGAACTTTGAGGCATTGTTTACCTTAAAGAATTTTTTATTCGAGAAACAAAGTATTGGCACTACATAGCTGAAACCAAAAACTAAATTCCCCTCCCCTGGACACAAAGTAACAAAGCACAATTCCCTCCTCCAATAAACAGTCATAAATCACATTCCCCAATTAGCTTGAAGCACGGGCTTTCTCCCCAGCTCTCCAGCCCCCAAAACTCTATCAACTCTGGGCCCAATGACCTTGGGTTCCCAGCCTGAGTTATTATTGTTATGACTAGCTGGATTCTCATCCACATTCCCACCTCCCAGCATCAACTAACTCTAAAAGCAATAGAGGAAAATAGCTGCAATTCCACCTGTTGTCAAGCAAGAACATCCGATGTTAGCAGCGGTGACACCGAATACATAATTTGGATCTATGTATGCCCATGCACAATCAGTTTCAAAATGATTGTGCATCAAGGTAGATTGTTATGTTTCAGTGATAATTGCCTCTTCTTGGAAATGATGGTTTATCCATACTGTGAAGCTGCTCCATCACCAGTATGAACCAGCAACCATTTTTGGAGGGTAGGAATGTATGACAATATCTGTACACACCCACGCCCTCTCTACTGGGAACAGTCTGCAGGCCAGGGAAGTGCTTCCTCAACATGCTAATGGGAAAATGCTTTATATGGAAGCAGCAGCAGACTTTGCAAATACATGCATATTGATGCTTTAAATATAAAGTTGCTTTAAATTTCATTTATATTTGTATACTTTTTTTTTTCATTTTTGCCTGGGTGACACACAAATTATTACTCAGGAAGATCCACCCAGAGGAAGGAAAGTGATTGGCAAATGCTTTCCTGGAAAAGAAAGATGGGAAGGCCCAGCAACAAGGGAATTGTCCAATAGGAGGATGTGGTATCTGCAATTTGGACTGAATACCTTGCAAACTGTTGCCAAAAAATCTCAGTCCAAACAGGGTTTTCTTAAGATGGCTTAGAGTCAGGCAATGAGCAGGTACAATGCTTTAAAAGATTGTGTTAGATTTGTTCTGTTTTGTTCCTACAGCAGTTTCCAGTGGAGTAAAGAAGATCTTTGGACATATCAGGTTGTCACTGGTCAGTATCCAAGTGACATGCAAAATAGAAGAACACTGTATTTGGATATGCTTCAGAAACTTCTACCTCACAAATCTAGACAAAGCCTTGTAAGTTGCAGAACTTCTCTTTTTTATTCAATTATTGGGATGAGAATTCAGTTTTAAAAGTTGTTAATAGGATTGCTGAATATAAGACTTCACTCAGCACTGCACACATGGAATTGCACTTGGACTTTTCATTTTTCCTCTACCTTTGATCTCTGTCATTTTTCAAATGTGTTCCAGATAATTCCATTCCTCCAAATATAGTACAAAACATTCACATGTTTGTATTTAAAAAAAAGAGCATAGTGCAACACAATTTACGTAAGTCAATGTTGTTAAACTGGTTATGATATTCACTGAAATACTGTACTATAATGTGTATGTGAATGGATTATGTGTTTGTAAGCAAGGTGCTCTGTGTTCAGACCTCCAAGTTCTCACATCCACACCTGCAATCTTTTAAATACAACTAAGCTTAATATCTGCCTCTAAATCCATCATCAGTAGTTATAGCTGTTCCTAAAGGTCATGGACTGCCTGGAATAAGATTCAACAGGATATGACACAATGCTGCCAAATCTGAAAATTGGCAAAAGTTGACACACACTCTGTATCTTACATGTAGGAGCACTTCCTGTTTATGTATAGATTGCTTCTCACTTTTTAATACATTCATTTATTTGCGTATGTACTAGCCCAACTCCCCCTACAGGGTTGTTGTCCTGGGGAAAATAGAAGGGGGAAGGAATATTAGGTATGTTTGCTTCCTTGAATTGGTTATAAAAATAATAAAGGTGGGATATGTGAAAATAATAAATAATCTTCCACATGTTTGGTGAAAGAGCCATTTCTTTGTGGCTTTCCTAAAGTTTAACGTTGGGGCTGTTCCAGTCTCTGGAAAGAAAATATTTTTCAAGGGTGGGGCCCTCAGAGACAGCCCTTGTCTTAAGACTCTCACATACCCATTTATTTAGGAAAAACAACTTTTTGAGACTTTCTCCTACTTGGTAGAGTGGCATGGAAACCTACGGCCCTCGAGATTTTGCTCTCAGGAGTCCCAGCCAACATGGCTAATGAAGAAGGGAATTGAAAGGGCCACACTAGGGCTACAAGTTCCACACTTCTGCTCCAAATTCTGTTTGGAACTGTACATGTAATATATTGTCATTTAAATGTTCAGCAAATTCACTAATGTTAGCTGGCAAGCACAATAGCCATTCAATATCTCAAATAAATGTGAGGTGAGATAATATGAAAACATATCTACATGCCCACACTAACAGGCAGTATTCAAAAGTGCGTAGCCTTAGATTTATAACTCAGCTTCTTCTCTGAGTTCAAAGGAAAACACAACCACATCCAATCATTTCTAAATAATGGAACTTTCATTCACAGAACACTCGACATATCACAGTGAAATCCACGATAGTGCTCCAATTAGTTTTACAGCATTCATATTACATTCCTGCTGCATTTGGTACGAACTTTTTTTGTACACAAAAATGATATGTCTAACAAAATGTGTAATAAATGTATTTTCGAGGAGAGGCAATTGAATAGAACCCTGAGAGATGACTTGGGGAAAAGACTAGCTTTAAATCTTCCTGCTTTCTCAGCAGCAAATGCTTTCTATTCTTTCCTTTGGCCTCCTGTCAATTTGTTAGAAATATTTCTGGGTTGTTGATTTAGTTACGTTAACCCTTATAAATGCCTTGCAAGGAAGCTCTTGTTTGTTTCCGAGAAGGGCATGATTCTCTCATGCTTTTATTAGCTGGCCCGCTCTTGGCTTCAAATAAGGTCATTTTTAACATCCAATTAAAGCAACCTTTAGCAGTTAGGGTTTAGAAGATCATTCTGCCTACTACCAAATTAACCCCCGTTTCCTTTGTTTCTCCAATCCACCCCCTCTCAAACCCCAGGTTGCTCATGAAAAGTCTTGGGACCACTATTACTTTACCAGGAGCCAATGGAGAGTATTGATGTTCAATTGGGTCCAAGCTAAGAAGACATTCTTAGTGAAGGCGGTGATGACTCTCACTGAAGCTTGTGCTGCTTATGAGACTGAAATGATGGTGGCTAATAATAGAAGAAAACAGCGGGAGATATGTGCTAATCTTAAAGAGAAGGTAGGCTCAATTGCACAACTCTCGATTAAATTATTGCTGCTTTGTATATCTTGTCTTGTTCAGTGTTGACTTAAAGGAGGAAAATGTGTACCACCGGTAGGTATACATGGGCTTCCACCTTATCCTGAAATAAAGGCACTCATTATTAAGTCATCTTTTCAGGATGACACTGTTGAATTACATGCCCCCAAATGGGTTGGGGAAGTCTTGTTTCATTTTGCTACAAAAATGTGAGCAATTTCCTTTTAATTTATGTGCTCTTGAGGCTTTATATTAAAGGGCCATTTTTATTTTTATTTCGACATGTCTATATTGTATGTGTAAATATGTTTTGCTTGGGTGGGGAAAGAGAGAGTTTTAATTAATCCTATCCTGATGCATTTTGGGATAACAACTAATTGACTGTGACTTAGCTTTCCCCAGTAGCAGTAAAAGCATGCTGGAATAATATAGCTAAAATGGAAAAAAAAAATCCATCTATCTGTTCTGTAAACGTGGCCCACAGATCCATATAATTGGGGGATGGAAGAAAAGGAGGGGCCCTCAGTGAAATTATCACATTCCTTCAGTGTAAAGATGCTGGACAGAAATCTTAATGTGAAAAAAACTAACCTGAAAGTTTGGAAAAGGAAACCAGTTGTTGTCAAACGATCCGTGAAAATTGACCAGTAATCGACATGTTTTATTTTGCCAACATTCCTGGAAGTTTTGCTCTTGATTCTCCGTGACCTCTGGTTCTGTGTGCTGTAATATAATTGAAACACGATATTGATGTAATATGATTGATACATGATACTTATGCAGGCTATACTGTATATGTTGTGTTTGCAAAATGCACTGAACCATAAACTTGAAATATATTTGGCATTAATGCGTTGTGAAAACCTAGCTTGAGAGGTAAATACATGGTTCGGTTTACCATGGGGAAGCATGTGATATGAGCACAACTCACGAACATCAGCATTATTCTGTGCCTGTTAACGTACTCTTCTTGCAATAAAATCAAACCTTAGTAGCAGTACCTCTGTTGAGCTAAAGAATTGTTGTCTTTAGGACAACGCTCATTCACCTGGAGTACGGCATGATCCGTCTTAGTTTTGCTGCTTGGTGTGCTTTTATAATGTAAGGAAAAAATGATTATTTGATGACCAGCAGCAATATCATTATCAGAAGCTCCCCTGAACTTCAGCCATGCCTAATTCAGGTATCCTCAGGCTATGATGGCAATTAGGACCAGAATTTCCATCTCTAAGTAATGTAGTTGTAAACTGTGATGTTGCATGACCACATCACTTAGTGACGGCAATTCTGGCAGTTTTGGTTGTTGTCATAACCCAGGACCTTGTAGGTCATTAGGCAGGAAGAGGTGGAAATCACAGATTGGCAAGTGCATGGGTTCTATGGAGGGGGTGCCACAAGCAGGCACTACTGAGCAAAAAAGACAGCCACGTCTGTCTTCCTGCTAACTTCCCCATTGAATTTGCTTGTGGGAAGCCAGCAGGAACATTGGAAATCACAATCATATGACCATGGCTCGCTGCAATGTAATAATCACGAGCTGGTTTACCAAGTATCAAAAATCACAGCTGTGTGACTATGGGGATGCTGTAATGGCTACAACTTTGCAGATTGGTTGTAAATCCTCCTTGTTCAGCACCGTTGTGACTTCGAATGGTTGCTGAACAAGTGGTCAAACTTCCTTGTTGGGAAGTTCTTCATCTCTAAGGTTCCCCTGACATTATGCAACATAATTTCTTTGTATACAGAGGGCTTCATTCCTACCATTAAGTGGAGCTAGCTCAGGGGTTCTCAACCTTGGCAACTTTAAGTCTTGTGGACTTCAACTCCCAGAATTCCTCAACCAGCAAAGCTGGCTGAGGAATTCTGGGAATTGAAGTCCACAAGTCTTAAAGTTGCCAAGGTTGAGAACCCCTGAGCTAGAGTTTCTTAATCCACTACACAAAATCTCCTAATTGGGGGAAATCAGACATACTCTTATGATGGGCATGAAACAGAAACTAATTTAAGTTATGATTATATCCCTCTGTCAGCCCATTTCCACTGTTTTTTTCCCCTTATGCATATCAAAAATGCACCAGTGTTAAGAAGATAAGAAGGAGGTAGTGAGCAAGTGTGTCTTGTTTTCTTAAGCCACTTCAGAAAGTCTGAAATATACATGCACATGCACACGCATATCCACACCCACACACAAATCACTGCAATGCAAAGTTCCATAAAAATCATGTGTGAAACAGTGTGAAGGCTAAAGGACTCTGTATTAAATCACCCTCACTAAGAATAAACTCCCCCCCCCTGCAAAGAGGCAGGAAAAAAGAGAAATCTGATTTTCCAATTTGAAGACTGCATCAACATTTTTTCCCCCCTGCACAATTATATATTCTGTATTTTCACCTAGAGTTGTATTGTTAAATTTGTTGGATACAAAGCATGCTGGTTGGGGAATGCTGGGAACTGAAGTCCAAAAGTCTTAATGTTGCCAAGATTGGACACCCCTGGTGTAGCCATATTAACGAAGAAGTGACTTCATCCTTTTCCAAAAGGATTATGTGAATCTATTCATTTTCAGAAATCTTTCTGGGAAGTGAACAGTATTTGCTACAAAATATCTTCTGTGCAATCCACCCTTTCCCCAAGAACATTTGCTTGGAATCATTGGTGTCTGCAGAGGGTGGTCAAAAAAAAAAAAAAAAACCAGACATGGGAGCAGCTTCGCAATGCAAGCTCCACCTCTTTTGTACATGCGTGTGATAAGTTGTTTTTGGCTGCAACCCATATGCACACTGGGAACAAACTATGGAAAGCAAAGGCTCTTACATCTGAGCAGAGCTATATTAAATTGTACCATTGGTAATATTTCTGCTCAGCAATCAATTTTTTTTTACTCAGTAAAAGACACTTGAATGGTATCGTCCAAGTGATCTCAGTATTTATAAAAAACATTTGAATTTAAGCAGGCCAGTTCTTTCTTGCTAGAAGTATTCCACGATCTATAACTATTCTTTTCATTATCATTCAAAGTTACAACAGCACAGAAAAAAGTGACTTATGATCATTTTTCACACTTACAACTATTACAGCATGGTTGGATCTACTTATGTGCTAGTGAATATTTCTCTGAAAGGAATGGGTAGTTCTGAAAAAGGTGTTCCAATATATGAGGGGCTGCCACAAAGAAGAGGGGTGCCAATCTATTTCCCAAAGCACCAGAGGACAAGACAAGAAACAATGGTTGAAACTGATTAAAGAGAGAAGCAACCTGGAATTAAGGAGAAACTTCCTAACAGTGAGGACAATTAACCAGTGGAACAGCTCGCCTCCAGAAATCGTGGGCGCTTCATCACTTTAAGAAGAGACTGGACAGCCACTTGTCTGAGATGGTATAGGTTCTCCTTGAGTGGGGGGCTGAACTAGAAGATCTCCAAGATCCCTTCCAGCTTCTATTCTATTCTATTCTATTCTATTCTATTCTATTCTATTCTATTCTATTCTATTCTATTCTATTCTATTCTATTCTGCAAATTAATATCTTTCTCAACACCAGGCAATTTTAAATGGGCTATTTTTTGTATTTTTGTATGGCACAGTTTAGCTTTCCAAGTTATAGACACTTGACTACTCATGTTCAGTGCCTCTTGAAATTATGGTAATTTGTAAAATAAAAGGCAAGCAGAAGTAGATGAATAGCTCAAAGATCTTTTTAATAATAAAAACAATAATATCCAAGAATTTCTAAGAAGGTATAGGATATTTAAAAAGTACCAGTTTAAGAAAACAAAAAATTAATTGCTTTTAATTTAAAATAATTGCAGGTAGTCCTTGTTTAATGACTGATCACTTGGTGACCATTTAGAGTTCTGATGGCTGAATCCCTCCTGCAGTCACATGACTGCATTTTGAGTACTTGGCAACTGGCTCACCTTTATAGATTGAAGCATTCCATAGTCACATAGCCATGATTTAGAATATATTTTGCGAATTTCTTATCCTTTTTGTCTGGTTTCTGGTAAAAAGTACCCTTAGAAATATGTTGATTTGCTTAATGATAATGATGTTCACCTAATGATTGCCACAAAAACAATGTAAAAATTGGGTCCAGTCACATGGGTGCCTTGACTTAGGACTGTCACGACTTACGATGGAAATTCTAGGTTCCATTACAGTCATAAATCGAGGGCTACCTGTATATATGCTGTGTGCATAAGTGTTAACAATATTTTTCCCCCAAAGGAACTTTTCAGCAGAAATAGCCAGAATTTTAAAATAAAACTGAATTACTCTATGAACAAATAGTGTAACATTTTCAGAATCTGAAGTTAAGTATATTGGGAGAGTCCATATGGTGCTCCTCTGATTATACTGCAATACTCTTACAAAATAACCATTTTTTTACAATATGAAATATGATCACTTCTTCCCCCAATGCTAGGTAGGAAAACAAGTGAAAATTACATGCCCATATCATCAAATGTTTTCCCTTTTTGAGTTCACCCATGCAGAATGTAACACCTGATTCATGATAGATTGACCACCTCCTTTTGATCATTCTCAAAAAAAAAAAAAAAAACCCACCACCTTTCAATTTCTGGATTTATGTTTTCCTTGAAGTAGGACAGTACCAGTTTGTGGATTTATAATAAAAAGCAATTAACAACTTCCTCCCCTAGCCTGCACCTTTCTCCAGAAATAATAGCAGCTGCTGCTTATCTTGGCTCTTAATTATGATAACTACAATTCCACCTTCTCTCTATTCAGATTGTATTTTCATAATCTCCCCTTCATTGTCCTCTCTTTCAACTGGCAAGCTAAGGATTTGTGAAAAGAAACCAGTTTTACTCTCATTACCTCATCAACTATTAAGACAGGGGCCTCCAGCCTGTTAGATCACATGGAGCTTAATTTGCTCGGATTTAAACGGTAAGACATACAGCTTCCAATTTTCCCTAACTATGTCACAAAGACATGCTGCTAAATCATTTCAA